CCCCCCCCCCCCCCCCCCCGGGCAAATCCTCCCAGTCTACCACCGCCGCTACTCCTACTCTAAGTCCTGCTCTTGCTCGTACTCCCGCCTGATGGTGATTTACATGTACAGTATCTATGGTTCTTATCTGCGGATGTTTATGATGATGCTGATGTTGGTGATGATNNATGATGATAATGATAATGATAATGATAATGATAATGATAATGATAATGATAATGATAATGATGATGATGATAATGATGATGATAATGATAACGATGATGATGAAGATGATAATGCTAATGATGATGACGATGACAATGCTGTTATTGCTGCAGGGCGAATCTTACTAGCTGTTCTCAGGCGAACACCTTTTGCCGTCAAGCCCCTTAATCCTCAACCCTCAATCCTCAACTCTAAATCCTAAACTCTAAACCCCCTTAACCCTGACCCACGAAGGCGCTTGGACTGAACCCTGCAATTGCCACAGGGGCAGCCCTGGAGGGATGCACCTCCAGCTAGAAGTCAAGCCACAAAACGGACACCTAATATAGGGGCCTAAATAATTACCAATACTGTCTTGGCAGTACCTTATTATAGCCATAGTATATGGTACCCCAAACCCTATTCTAATTGCTAAGGCCCCTACATTACACCCATGACAAATCTAGAAACTCCGGACTGCTTTCCACACGGCTGCCTTCAACATGGCCAGCACGGCTACAAGCATCTCTGAGCTTCAACCACAAAGTTCCACGGAGTCATGGAAGCTTGCACGGCCCGAAACCCTAAATTCCTATAAACCTTAAACCCTAAACCCTATAAAACCCTAAAACCCTTGGTTCATCCGAAGGCAGAAGTCCGAAATACTCAACGACCCACAAACCCCCCGAATCCGAAGCCACCACACCACCCCAACACCCGAAAGCCTAGAAACCCTAAAACCTAAACCCTAAACCCTAGAAGCCCTAAACCCTAAACCCATGCCCACTCCAGGGGTTTAGAGTTTAGGGCCTTCAGGGTTTAGGGTTTAGAGTTTACGGCTTCTAGGGATTAGGGTTTAGGGTTTAGAGTTTAGGGCTTCTAGGGTTTAGGATGTAGAGTGTAGGGTCTATGTAACCCTGAACCCTAAACCCCAAACCCTCTCAGAGCCTACATCTGACAGGCTTGATGTGACTCGGGAGAGTGCCACCTGGCTCCATCGTAGCCGGGGGGGGGAGGGTTTAGCGTTTAGGGTTTAGGGTCTAGGGTTTAGGGGAGACTTGAACTCCGAGCAGCCTCGAACCCCGGGCTTTGTGGAATGTAGGGGCCTTAATTATTTGAAAAGGGTTCTGTGGTATTGTTAAAACTAAGAACTATGAGAAGGAACCTCAAAATAGTAGTTATTGGTAATTCTTAGACTCCTATAGTATCAGGGTCTTAGGGCTTATGGTCCAGACTTGTGTGGTTCGGCTCTAGGATTTCTTGGGGGGGGAGTTGGGCGTGTTTGGGTGTTTGTGCTTAGGTGGTGGTTTAGGGGTTTAGGGGTTTAGGGCCGAAGCCCTAAACCCTAAACCTTAGTTAAGGTGAGGAGATGTAGGGTCCTCACCTAAGCACCATCTAGAACCCTAAGCCCTAAACCGATAAAGGAAGGCTTGAGATTTGAATCGACTGGTGAATCATGAAGGCAACGAGGGCTTTGGCTCAGGGTTTCGGATTTATAGGGTTTAGGGCTTAGGGTAGGCTTCACACGAAATCCTGGATCCTGGAGGATAAAGCTGACAGCCAAACACCAAGACGGCAACTTCTGCAGCCCGCAAAACTTCCATGTCCGACTATAGGGGCCTTCATAATTACCTAAATTCGTTTGGGGGGGCTCCTTGTTATAATGTTAGTAGAATATACCCCAAAACCCTATTCTAATTATAAGGACCCATATCTTACAGGGTTCAAGCACGCTAAGCTCTGACGGTTCGAGATCCAGATACAGCTTATGCAGGGGGCTTGATGATTAGAATAGGGCTCTGGCGTATACCACACTAAAAGTCCTATAAGCCTATTGGGAAGCCTGAGAAACACACTGTTTTCGTGATTCTTCGGGCATCGATTTTACATGTTGCGCAAGATTTTACCTCAACCCTAAACCCCTAAACCCCAGACCCGTTAAACCCTCCACCCAAACCCCGTCGGTAGCTGGCAACGAAGAGCTTACTCAGCAATTAGGGTTCAGGGTTTAGGGAAGTTTAGGGTTAAGGCTTTAAAGGCTCCGAGACTGGAGTCAAGGGTCGGGTTGAGTGATCTAGCAAATCCGTAAACCTGATCCTTGAGTCCTAAACTCCTATATAAGCGCTCAAGAACCATGAAGCCAAAAAACCCTTAAAAAAATCCCTTGAACCCTAAACCCTAAACATCCCTGAAACCCTAAACCTAAAACCCTAAACCCCAAAAAACCCTAAACCCTAAAACCCCGTGGCGCCTGGTTCTCTGTCGGTTCTCCGCCGTTGACGGATTCGTTCGGGCCTGAGCTTGGAAGGCGGAAGGCGAAGCGCAGGGTTTGGGGCTTAAAGGGTTTAGGGTTTAGGGTTTTAGGGATTTAGGGATTTAGGGTTTTAGGGATTTAGGGATTTAGGGTTTAAGGGTTTTAGGGTTTAGGGTTTAGGGTTTTAGGGCTTTAGGGCTTAAGGGTTTCAGGGTTTAGGACTTAGGGTTTAGGTTTTGGGGTTTAGGGTCAATGCACCCAGTCCAAATGCCTCGCGTGATGGGGCAGGTTACCAAAATGATTTTGGTACTAAACTAGGCCTGACAGAAACGCACATCAATCATCAATTATTGTAATTCCTCTATCACCACATGGCCCCTAATTAACACATAACCTATTAAACTTGAATGCCGAACGACCCGGAACGGCTACAAACCCCGAAGCCCTAAAGCCCCAACAACCCATGGAAGTTTCGGATGTACATAAATGTACGTACATACATACATACATACATACATACATACATACATACATACATGCATACATACATGCATATAGTACATACACACATACAAAAGCATACGTATGTATATGTATATTTATATATATATATACAGACACATACAACATACAACATATTAAATAGATCAAGTAAGTACTCGAAGTACCTATATACATACATATCTATATCTATATCTATATCTATATCTATATCTATATCTATATCTATATATATATATATATATCCAGTAGTGATATACAGAGTTCCATGGGGATATCTTTATGCTAAGCATGCCCAGTCCGAACAAGGGCTGCGCTTTGATTGGCGCCAGCAGTGAGGACTGTGAGGTTAGCTAACCTTGGATCGCGGCTTTTTCTTTTCGTCGGGTTTCGGGTTTAGGGGTTTAGGGTTTAGGGGTTTAGGGTTTGAGTGTTTAGGGGTTTAGGGTTTAGGGCTGGAGGGGGGGGGGGGTCGGGTTCGGGTTTAGGGTTCAGGGTACTGGGTTTAGAAGGCTTAGGGTGAATGGGTTAGCCAGGGCTTAGGGTTTAATTAGCATTTAGGGTTTAGGGTTTAGGGTTTAGGGTTTAGGGTTTAGGTTTGGTTGTTAGATAAGGTTTAAGGCTTAAGGCTCAGGGTTCAGAGCTCGATGGACTTTAGGGTGCAGGGTCTGGGCTCAGATAGGGTGAGGGTGCCAGGAATGTACATATATATATATATATATACATACACCTACACACCCAATACCCTAAACCCTAAACTTGTTCTTCGACCCCCCAGGTACCGGTGATATGTCCTCCAAGCCCTAACAATGGAGGTGTCTAGGCAGTAAAGGCGTTCGGGCGGATGGCTCTGAAAGTCTGTTGCGCGTGTGGGGCTCCTTTTTGGTAGGCTTTTGCTCAGGAAAACATGAGGAACAGCCCTGAAGGTTAATAGTTAGTATAGGGTTTTAGTCTTTCTAAGGAACCCTAAGAAATAATGCTGGTAAGTATTCGGTTTCTATATCACGTGGGAGTCATATGTCCCCAACTGAAGCGACAAGCCCTGGCCTAAACCCTAAACCCCAAACCCTAAACCCTAAACCCGAAACCCTAAACCCTAAACCTTAACCGTTAAACCCTAAACCCGAACTTGAGACAGGAAGCAGTCGGTACTGCTCTTGGAGCATCCGCGTCTGTTGCTGGAGAGCACCCATGACCTGCTGGGCTTAGGCTTTGATCTTTTTGGTGTGGGTTTAGGGTTAGGGTTTCGGGTTTTTGAGTTTCAGACTCCCTCCAAATCCTCCAGCCGAAACCCTAAAAGCTGACTTAACCAACATGCTAAACCCTTTGAGAGAGGTGCGAACTTCCAACACAATCGCTGGCTTAATCGCTCATACTTACCCAAAATCGTAATATAGGGGCCTGAATAATTAGAATAGGGTTTGGGGGCCCACTATTATAATCATAATAAAGGACCCCCGCAATAGTATAGGCAATAATATTATAATCATAATAAGGGACCCCCGCAATAGTATAGGTAACCACTTCAGCTCCTATATTCTTGCAAGCCTACCGAGGGCTAACAGGGCTCGTTTTGACTGGCTCGGGATTTCAGTTTGGTTTCTGATGCGAAGCCAATCCTCAAATGCGAGACGTAGAGCGTAAGTTCCTTCCCCTGGAGCAAAACAATGATAACACTAACGACAGCGAATTCGAGGCATAAGAATACCCTTTAGCAACCTCATAACACAAAAGTAATAGGCCTGATGGCATCCATGGTAATAAAAATGACGATGATGGTGGTGATGTTCATAAGCTTTCAGCTTCCTGTAGCTCAGCTGCTCAAAATCACAGACAGAAAGCAAGACAAACAAACGGGCAGGCAGACAGATAGGCGGACGAACGGGCAAACCGACAGATGGGCGGGCAGAGAGAAAGACGGAGGACGGGTTTGGGGTCGAACAGACAGGGGGGTGTAGGCTCTGGTCAGGCCAGGTGCCTCCTTCTGGATCAGCGATTGTATCTGCATTGTCTTGTACCTCGGGAAAGCCATGTTTCAAGAACACGGTTTTCCGAGCTTGTTCCTGGACTAAGGTCGAAGTGGAAACCCATGATCTCCATCAGCTAGACATGGCCCTAACTCATAGACCTGCCAAGACGCTTGACGATGGAGTGCATGACAATGGGATCTCTTTTCCGGAAGCCTCCAAGGGCATGGCAGATCGATCCGTGAACTCTGAATGCTGCAACTTACTTGTGGTCCCATGCTGTTAGCCGTTATCATCTTCGTCATAACTGTAGCTATCATCTTCATCAGCGCCGACACCAATGACTACTCTTGCTGATGCTCCTGCTGCGACGACCCTACTTCTCATTCTGCTGCTGCTGGTGCTGCTAGGCACCACTGCTTGTGGGGTTGCTCTTCGCGACAATGCCACCAAAATTGCAGGTACAGGATAGTTTGACTGTCCTATGGGGGTTGTTGCTGCTGTCATTTTCATTGTTCATAATATCCCAATGACTTACCGGAGTACCGGAGTATAGTGCTTGAAATGTGATGCGTTTGTTGTTGCTAACACGATCGGCTTTAGATGCTTGTTGGGGTCTCGAGAAGCATAGGAGTCTTGCCGGATGCTGGAAAGAACACATCTCTGCATGTTGGTCGCTGCAATAAGCCTTTGTCCAGTGTAGCGGTTTGAGTGGTCAGAGTTCAGCTTAGTAAGTAGGATGTTTTGTAGTTCAAGGCCAAACAAAGCAACATAATACTGCAGTATGATCCCTCTATTGACCGGCCTCCGTCCTTTCGTTATCGTGACAAAAGTAACAGTCCCCTGTTTTGGCAGTACCAGGCTCAGCGTCCAGAGTCTGGCGGGCGGATATGCAGAGACAGTCGGTATCGATGACTACCGCCGTTCAGGAGTCCACAGTAAAAGGATTCGAGCTGGAAACATATAGGGGTGCTGGGCTGCAGTGTAGGCTTTAGGGTTGCTGGTCTGGGCAGGCATACCTCTATCGCTGAACCAACTCGAATTTCTGGCAGGAAAGCCGTCCCAAAGAACCCCAAACTTAAACTCCTAATCAAGCACAGCTTAGAACCCGAAAGCAGTAGCCCTGCGTGCCCGATAAATCCCCAAACCCTAAACCCTAAATACCTAAACCATTCCTAAACCCTAAACCCTATACCCTAATCCCTAAACCCTAAACCCTAATCCCCAGGCCCCACTCTGCCTCCCAGGTGAGTGCAGAAGTCGAGATAGGGCACAGCACCCGTGTTCTCCTCAGCACAGCTGCCAACTACTCGCTCACCATCTCTTGGGGCTTTAGGGTTTAGGGTTTAGGGTTTAGGGCTTTTTTTAGGGTTTAGGGTTTACGGTTTAGAGGGGGTTTTAGTGAAACAAGGACCAAACAAGGGGATAGTACCAGTAATTCTTCCGACCCCTGCAAAAATTCGGTCAGCATCACCGTAGGGGTTCAACCGAGGTGTCATTGCACTTTGGCCAAACCCTAAAATCTGAACCCAAAACCTGAAAGTCTGGGATGTTGCAGCACTCGAACCAAATTGAGACGGCTTCGAGTGCCAATGTGCAAGAAATCGAAGCCCTTCAGAATGCCGAAGCCTACGGCGAAAGCCCTGAACGAGATGCCATAGGGGCCTTAACAATTAGAATAGGGTTTGGGGTGTAGGATACTCTAATTATAATAAGGAACCCCCAAGACCCTTTTCTAATTATCAAGGCCCCTACATTACTTACTAGAGGGTAGTTCTCTAAATCAGGATACCTTTCAGGGTTCTTTTTATAAGGGTGCCGTAGTATTTTGGGGGACCTAAAAGGAGGATCCTAATTTAGAGAGCTACCCAGAACATACCGAAAACATCGGCTCAGCATCGGAATCCAGTACGCTGAAGATCGTCTCGATCTCTTCACGCCTGTGTGGTGCAGGTTGCAAGCTTGACGCTCCAGGGTGGAGTGATAAGGCAAAACCACCCCAAAAAATGCAGTAGAGGTGGCTGAAATCCCTAAACCCTATACTAGACCTACTGAACCCTAAATCCGCGCCAGGGTGCTCCATGATCGAAACCCGTACAACTTTTAACTTCCGCATAATTCTGCGTTGTTAACAATGCTGTTGAGCTAGATCTGTATATGGGTAGTTCTCTAAGTTAGGGTCCCTTTTTAGTTCCCAAACTTAGTACGGCACCCTTATAAGTATAAACAGGACCCCCAGAAGGGACCCTAAAAAAGAGAACTACCCATATTGTAAAGTGGTCTACGGTCAGGGGCGACGGTGTCAGAGCGGACCAGCTTCCGGCCGAGCTCTCCGAATCCATCCCGAATCCTTGAACCCTGAACCCTGAACCCTCACAACTTCTCAAGGGCCCGACACCCTAAACCCCTAAACCCTAAACCCTAAACCCTAAACCCTAAACCCTGAACTTTAACCCGAAACCCTCACCCTACAGGCGGTAAATATCTTCCGGGCAGGTTGAGACCTCATCCCTTTGGGCTTTCGGGATTTTCGGGTTTCACCTTTAGGGTACCTATAGTCTCCATTGTAGTTCTTTTTAGGGGATACCTTAAACATCCTCAATAATTAACCCTGTGGATCCAAAGGTATCCTTAT